TAAAAAACATTACCTTTACATTAAATAAAAAATTTTAATAAATATATTATATAATAAAGTTGCCCCCACTGATGAAAAATTTTAGATCCGTCCTTGTCCACACGTAAGAGTATAAATGATATATCAATGTTTGTAAACTATTTAAATTTGATTTAGATAAAATTTGAATTCGATTTGATTATTATCAAATTAAACTCTAACAGTTTGATTTATTAAACGAATCGAGTTCGAATATTATAATATCTTACTTAAGTAGTTTACAAATATAATTGAATTTTTATATTTTAATATATTTTTATTAAAAATTATTATTTTTACACATATATATATATATATATTTATTAATTCAAGTGTGAATTTGAATTTAAATACAAATAATCGAGTTTGAAGTCGAATATAACAATCAATTTTTTTTTCAATAAACGAGTTTAATCGAGCAAATTCGAAAATTTTAATTTTTATCTTAAATCAAATTCAAATTTAAAAATTAAAGTTTGATCGAATTCAAATCGAATTTCGAATAATAAATTTTGAATCAAATTTAAACTTAAACTTCTCATTATATCAATTTGACTTAACTCAATTACATCATTGGCTTCACATCGTTAAAACCTATATTTAAAATTTTTGTTTATTCCCACGTTTTAAAGCTGTGCTAATCTAAACTTGCCAAGAATAAAACGCAACTTTTTTCTTGTAAAATTTTTAATGGAATCTTGTTTATCGTGGGAATAATCCTAATATGCTATCCCTTTTCCTTAATCTTCTTACATTGGGCGCCATTAGTTTGAACAGAAACCTCTTACTTTGCTGTTTCTTTTTCTTCCTTCTATTTTGCGAATTTCTCAATACGGCGACGCCCATGCATGGAAATTTCTTGGCACTGTTTGTTGAATTCCAAGTCCAACCACACGAGTTTGGTTAAAGAGGAAAATTCAAAAGAAAAAAGCTTCATAAAGTTGATATATACATATTACCGTACGGTACCATACCAAACAAAATAGCATTTAGTCTTCGGATCGAATCAACTTTCAAATTTATGCCGACGCCCTTTTTCTTTCTCCTTCTTTGACGTAGAAATTTCTTTGAAAGAAGCCTCGGGCGAGTCACGGAAAAGAAAGGGCGCTAGCCAGCATTAGGGTCACTAGATGAACTTTTGGGCTTTGGCCATCATTCAATCAACGTGTTCAAGTTTGAAAAGGAGCCATAAATGAGAAACTAAAGGAGAAAAAGCAAAAGGATTCGTCACTAGATGTTGAAAATCCGTCTACCAAATTTAAAAAAAGAGAAAGCTGTAGATTATATATGGAAACAATATATTAGTGAGAAACTGAAGGCGACTTAATCAGTAAATCAAGTCATGCACCTAATCCACATGCAATGTACATAAGTTATATATTTGGTTCAGCCGTCCCCAGTTTGATCTTTTCCTATTTGTTGCCTTTTTTACTTCTTATGCGTCTACATTTCCTGATTTGGCAATTTTCAATGTTTTAATTGAACTCCCAAAATCATAAGCTTTTTAATTGTAATAAATTAATAGTGCCATGCCCCTTTAATTTGGCTTAATCATTGACAATTATAAAGGATAATCCAACAATATTTTTGGGTAAGGATTGGTAACTTAATTATATGTGAGAAGCTAACAAGTAGCAAAGTAAAAAACTTGGATTAAAATTAAGATAAACAGTTGGCAAATTTGTCAATGTAGGTTGAAGTTTTCCATGTTTTTCTTGCACGCTATGTCTTTAATTTCTTAATTTAGTAATTAAAAAAGTTTAAAACAACACGTAAGATAGAAAATTCGAATCCGACCATCTTCATTTTTATCTCCTACCTAATGTACCAAAAACAAAATTGATTAGGCTAGTAAAAGTAGATTAAAAGAAGCGTTACCCTATGGGAAAAATTGATGGTTATGTATGAGAAGAAAAACAAAAACAAGAAATCTATTCAATATATTTCCGAACAAGTTGCTTAGCTATTATTCTCCATGTTCGAATAATCATGCGCAAAATATGAAATACGAGATATCCTATTTCATTAAAAAGTGACATAAGATGTCATACATAAATACATATATAAATGAGTGATAACGATTTCATTTGATTCAAATTAAAATTAGTTTCATTTTTTCGGATATTATATAATATTATGAAAATTTAAAGTTCGATCCGAATCTGAATCGAATTAAACTTTTATTCAATCCAAATCGAATCAAACTAAATTTTATTAGTTCAGCTTGATTAAGTTTATCGGTCTTTAATTTTTAATTTTTATATATTATTTTAATATAAAATTTTAATATATTTAAATAAATTTTGATATAAAATTATAATTTTTATTTTATAAAAATTTAAAATATATATATGTATAAACTAAAAATATATATAATTTGATTTGATTTTTTTTTTCATCTTTCGATCTGAAATCCAATCCAAATCTAATATATATATATATATATATATTTAATATCTAAATTTAATTCAAACAAAATAAAAAAAATTGATTCAAACTGAACCGAACATTACAGTTTCAAATCAATTATCAAATTTTTTGATTTTTTTTCACTATATATATATATATGTACATGAAAAATTTTAGCTCCATAATTGATGCTTTTAAATTTAAGTTACGTCTAATATGTATATACAAGTTTCTTTAATGTATTCTCATGGACTTAAAATTTAGCTTAGCTCCTTAATAAAAGATATCAAAATCAAAAGTTTAACTTAAATGCAATGAATACAATAATGTGATGTCTTTTAGACGTAAGGGGACGATATATGCAAAATATGTAAGGTTGAGTATTAGGCTTAAGGTTCATCGAAACACTCTAAATACATAGGAGATGGGCATAAAGGTGTGTGGATTGTTTTACTTACACAAAAGCTAATCACAACTCACAAGTAAACTCACAATACAAATTATTGAGGTTTATATATAACTGAAATATATATTTCACATCATTAAAAATAAGATGTAAAAGTGATATATATAAATATATATATATGAAAAATACAAAAATCAAATACTTTAAATTATAAAATTTAAATGATGTTCAATATGTATGAATAGAATAAACTCTTTTGATTTGCTCTCATAAGCTCAAGATTTGGCGTACATTGCCGACAATATAGTTCAATGGAAACCCAAATTTTGATGGGTTGAAAATAAGATTTTATTTAAATTAGCGGTCAAGATGGTTTAAAAGATAATGACACCCTTTAGCTTTCATTAGGAATTTAATTCCCTAATTGTGAAGTTGACATTGAATTAATTAATAGCCGCAAGAATTCTCAAATTTTGACAAGTTTTCCTAATGGATTTGAATTTCATATTTAAATATAAAATATTTTTGGATATTTTAATTTATCTGAAATTTTATTATTATTATTTTAAATATTTAAAATTATCATTGATTAAATTTAATTATTAAATTAAAATCTTAATAGTTTATCAACCTATTGTTATATCTAACAACATTAGACTAATCAGTCTAATCTTTGAGGGTAAGTTAGATCATCCAATTAAACAAAGTTTGGTATTTCATTTTACATTTTAATTGAAGACTTTTTCACTTTTGATTGAATTTTATATTTCTTTTTATAAAAGCTAATTGAAAAGGCTATCGTCGTGGTATTGTTTACACCAGACGTTCATTGAAAAAGGAAAAAAAAAAAAAATTAAAAGCTTGAGTGAAGAAAGAAAAGAACTGCAAGAAATATTAAATGAAATAAAAAAAATTAAAAAAAAAAGAAAGTAAACAAATGACCCGGTCGCATCCGGTAAACAGTCAACAAAGATTAGATCTGAAACGTGGGAGTATGATGCTATTGCTACGTGTGGCCAAGGAGAGACCAAGGCACTGCCCTACCCGGTCACCGGTTATAAAGAGATCTGGGCCGTCAAATTCGTTGACTTGGCTTGGTGTTGCTTTTTCCTCTCTTAACAGGACTCACTTGTTTTTCTTATTAATCACGTGGAATGCGCCGCACCCTTCGGGCCGGTGAATTTCTTTCTTTTCCTTTGGATTTAAAAGAACGAGTCAAACTCTTTCTTGACGAAATGTAGACGTAAACCTCTTTATTTCTATAACTTTCAACAACTACATACTTTCGGTCCTAGCCCGATCCGTACCCGAACCCTCTCATATTTGCCTTTTCGACTTTTGTTACTTTTTCACTTTAAAGAACTAAATTTTCTTTAATTTTAAAAATTTGGTCAATGTTACGCGAAGCTAAAAGTAAACCACCAATCTAAACTCTAACCCTAATTTGGTCGATGGTGATGGCCCGAAAAGGGTGATGGGGATGTAAGGGTGATAATAATTCATATTAAATTTGATTCCATTTAAATTTTTAAATAATATGTAAAGTTAAAATTTTTAAATTTTGGTTTAAATTTGAATTAATTTTTTTATATTATTTGAATAGAATTTTTATATAATTTAATTCAGTCAGAATTAAATTTTATTTATTTAATTTGATTTAATTTATTAATTTTTTATTTTTATATATTATTTGAATATAATTTTTAATATATTATAACAGATTTAGGTATAAAATAAGTATAGTTATTTTATTAAAATTTAAATATATATAATTAATAAAAAACATAATTCAATTTAATTTAATTTTTTAATTTTTATCTTTTGATTTAAAATTTAATTTGAATATAATATATATAAATTTAATCCGAATTCAATGTAAAAAAAAATTAATTTAATTCAATCGAGTATTACAATTTTAAACTAATTTTTTATTTTTTTCTATCCTCTGACAGAGGGTGGTATATCCATTTTTTTCGTATTTTTCATTAATTTTTCTTCTCTCTTTCTAGTTTAGTTTCTACAGTGGGAAGGGGGTGAAGTGGGGTTAATTGCCAGCTGGTAACGTTACGCACCATCTGACGTAATAATATCAAAACCCATCAATTTCTGAAAAATCCAAAATTCTAGACTGAGTACCAGTCTATCTGGTCTACGTTCCAAACCCTTTTAATAGGCGACCCCGTTGCTACGGTAAAAGACTTCAGCCTTCACAACGCATATGGTATTACACGCATTCTCAATCTGCATTCTCCCCGTTTCCGTTTCAACGCCATCTTTGGTCTCTTCTTCCAAGCTTTCTCTTTCTTTCTTTATTTCTTCATCTCCTAGTTAGAGTTCTTGATTTATTTATGGACAAAGGATGGGGGCTTACCCTTGATTCTGATCCTGCATCTAATTTCTTCCCCAACAAAACCAATTCCACCACGGGACCTTTCTTCAGGTTAAAACAGCGAGAGATGTTTCAGTTCCCTGTTAGCCTTGCTGGCTCCAGGGAGGACCGCCGCGGAACTTCCTCTTCCTCCTCACCCTCTAATGAGAACCGGCTGGCGGTTGATGAGGTTGATTTTTTCTCTGATAAGAAACACATGGTTGTTGATGATCGTGAGGATAACAAAACCAGTATTGTCAACGTCAAGAAGGAGACTTCTCGGGTTGAAGCCGGTCCAGGCTCTGATTTGGATGTTAACGTAAGTGTTTTTTCCTTCTCTAAAATCATTTTTATTTAGTCATTTTACAATTAGCACTAAATTATTATTGATTGTTTCTTTTGGCTTTAAATGTAGACTGGATTGCATCTTCTCACTGCTAACACTGGAAGTGATCAATCAACGGTTGATGATGGGGTATCTTCGAATATGGAAGATAAAAGAGTCAAGAATGAGGTAAGAGGGATTTTTTTTTTAATGAACAAACTAGCTATGTTCGAAAAAAAAAATTTATTAAATGATTTTCTCATTTTGTTTCAGCTGGCGCAATTACAAGTGGAATTGAAACGTATGAATGATGAAAATCAGAAGTTAAGAGACATGCTTAGTCATGTCAGCAACAATTACAGTGCTCTTCAGATGCAGCTTGTGACCTTAATGGAACAACAAAGAAATCGATTAGCAGAAAGCACTCAAGAGCATGAGGTATTTTTCTTATTATTTATATGTTGGTATTTCTTATAATCATAGGTGTTGTGATATAGGTTTTGATTCTAATTGTTGATTTAAATATTTTTTATGAATTCAGATTCAAGAAGAAAAATCTGAAGTGAAGAAACATGAGGAGATAGTGCCTAGACAATTTATGGATTTAGGTCCATCGGGCACAGTTGAAACAGATGAGATGTTTCCTTCTTCATCAGAAGAAAGAACTCGCTCGGGGTCGCCTCCAAACAAGTTAGAAATTGCATCCAAAGATTATATTAAAGGCAAAAATGAGATTCCTCGTTTTGATCAGGAGACTTCTAGTCTTCCGGATGGCAAGAGAATTGATAGAGAAGAAAGCCCGGAATCAGAGGGTTGGGGTCCTAACAAAGTCCAAAAGCTGAATCCTGTAAAATCAATTGATCAATCCACTGAGGCCACCATGAGAAAAGCTCGTGTTTCTGTTCGAGCTCGATCAGAAGCTCCCATGGTACGTTACTGCTCTAATCACTTAAGATTTGATAGAAGTTATTGTTAAATTGGTAGAAAACTAATTGATTAATTGGTTAAACTGATACAGATCACTGATGGATGCCAATGGAGAAAATACGGACAAAAGATGGCAAAAGGAAATCCATGCCCTCGAGCTTATTACCGATGTACCATGGCAGTTGGTTGTCCGGTCAGAAAACAAGTATGCTTCTATTTTTTTAACGATGCCTTATTTTAAATTTATCTAAATTTTAAGGCCTGAAACTAATTACTACGTCTTATTTTAAATTTATCTAAATTTTAAGACTTGAAACTAATTACTACGATAATTTTCAGGTTCAACGTTGCGCAGAAGATCGGACAATCTTGATTACAACTTACGAGGGGAACCACAACCACCCACTTCCTCCTGCTGCGATTGCAATGGCATCGACGACAGCAGCAGCTGCTAGCATGTTGCTTTCAGGGTCAATGCCCAGTGCAGATGGGATCATGAACCCAAATTTGCTTGCCAGGGCAATCCTTCCATGCTCGTCTAACATGGCAACCATTTCAGCTTCTGCTCCATTCCCAACTGTAACATTGGACCTTACGCACTCACCAAACCCTCTACAATTCCAAAGACCAGCTACCCAATTCCAAGTCCCTTTTCCAGGCCAAGCCCAAAACTTAGCGTCAGTATCAGCCCTTCAATTGCCTCAAGTTTTTGGTGAAGCATTGTATAATCAGTCAAAATTCTCGGGCCTGCAGTTGTCTCATGACATAGGGCCTTCACAATTAAGCCACCAAATTTCACATCCACAATTGCAGCAGCCTCAGCAACCCACACTGGCTGACACAGTAAGCGCTGCCACCGCCGCCATCACGAATGATCCCAGCTTCACAGCCGCTCTCGCAGCCGCCATCACCTCCATCATTGGTGGTGCTCACCCAAATAGTATCAGTAACACTTCCAACAACAATAACAGCAATGCCAACAACACCACAAACAACAGACAATAAGATCAGCAGTTTTTCCTGGAACTTAATTAGAGACGACTTTTTTAACCTTCTTTTTCCTTGTTATTAATTTTTTCGATGTTCTTTCTTTGGGGGATGAGAAGGAGATTCCATGTTTATATTTTTTTGTACTTTGTTGTGGGGAGGGTTAGAACACGTACACAAACTTCATTCTTTGTTATTATTGTTTTCATTTTGAATAATTCACTTCAGATTTTCAGTAAATACATACAAAACAGAGCATAATTTCCTTCAATGAGTAATGCCGGTCAGCTTGTTCGATTATATTTTTCACTTATCTTTCAAGAACAAAGAAGAATATCTTGAGAACAAGATCATAAAATGATCGAATGCTACATTTACAAGAAAAGAAAAGGGAAATCTTGTTGAAGAATGCAATAATATAACATATAATTCCCACAAGAAAACAAAACAGTCTGCCGTCTGCGTGGAATATTTTGTTCTAAGCAGTCAGGAAAATACGCTATCACCCTTTGACACGTAATTGGTTTGTAATGAGAAGAACCATAGAGCTGAGACATTAGACTTCCAGGCAACAACGTGTGCATTGAATGTAACGAAAAGAAAACGCAAAAAAAAAAAAATGGATGGGATAATATTTCTTTGTCTTTAGGTCAAATTCGTTCAATCAAGTAGTTTCGTGGATTGTGGTGAGGTGCAATTATTTTTATTGAACAACTCAGATACGTATGTTGACTTTCCATGAATCCCACTTGATTGACATGATCCATCATGTTGCATGCGCATTAAATATTCATGTGTGTGAAATTTATAAATGCTAAGGAGGGCGAACCCCAACTTGGAACTTTGTGGGTCGAACCGTACCTCATCCACCGTACAATTATCATCTTTCTTACGCTAGTCACTTGGAGTCGCCTGCAGCTTGGAATTTGTCACGCCCCACATGCTTCCATGTGAACGGATCCCTCTCCTTTTAAAGCTTTCTTCCCATTCCAGGACTTTCATGTATGTATGTAGATATTTTCGTTGTAGGAAATTTCGATGGTGTAGTAGTACTTGTGGTCAATTTGTATTTATAAAAATGGGAAATTTCTTCTTTACAATAATTAAATTTGCAGATAACGCTTAGATAATAACATGTGATGGATCCTACACGAGTAATGTATTCCAAATTAGACTTACAAGATTTGCAACCAAAACCAATGACGTAACAAAACTTATTAACTGAGATTTGAGCCTCTCTTTCTCTTGTTAATGGAAAATTTTCTTCATCTTGTAAATTTGTAATTATATATTGATTTGGATTTATTGAAATCTTTTTATGAGAATGAATCATTATTGGCAAGAAGAAAGAGTGCAAAAATTTGAATTAATGTTGAATAGTATGGGCATGAATTCAAGCCGCCTGGATAGCTGGTGACTGATGTTAGTTTTGGCTTCTCTAAAGTGGTCATGGGATGATTATCAATTTATTATTGTCACATGAAGCTTGTTGCTATTCTTTTTCAAACTAATAATAAAGTTTCCAATGGCTTTCATGCGTCCCTTGTGGTGTGGGCCTTGGAGATTTAGGTTTCAATGGCATTTAAACTTTAAAGATAAGGTATATAGCTGTCACATGCTATAATTTCAATACTCCATGTTGAATGTTAGACTTAATAACAGATAGAAAATTAGATTTATTTTTGGTCACTAATTTCACCTCTTTTTTTCTATTTTTTCTATCATTTTGTCAATTTTTTTTAAAGTATAAAGTTTTCCTCCTCCATCGCAGAAAAGAAGAGACAAAATATATGGGTACATCTCCATTTAACCCAAGGTCATTCATAAAGCAAGACTAGGTCAGGCCATTCACCATTTCACATAATAATAAGTGTCCTAAGGTCCAATTGTAGCTCAGGTCCTACCTAAGAAGGTGGGCTTGACCCCAACATGACAGAAGTTTTTCCAATTCCTGGGCTCCTAGCTAAGGCTGGACTGGACCTTGGACAAGAAATTGATTGCGTTCCATGAAAGCAGAAACATAACAACTGGCAGATTTTACAGCAAATAGAATCATAAACAATAACAATGAGAAATATAAATAATCTCTAGATGAGTTTGTTTACAAAGAAAGCATAGGCAATTGTCCATTTAATTTCGTGTCTCTAATACAATTACAATATTAATAATTGAGACAATATATAGAATAGGTTTTTTGGGATCTTCGTTATGATTTATGAATGCTACGAAGAATGTGAAATCGAATTCTAAGACGCTAACAGACCAAAGAGAAAGTAATCAGTCCAAAAAAGCAAACAAAAGAAAAACCAAATTAAAGTGATGTTAGAATCAAACATTCTGCAGTCAGCTTTTACGGAATTCACATGCTCATCAATCATCACATAGTTTTGGTATTCTCCTCAAACCTTCTCAAACCATAAGGCACAAAAGCAAAGTATATGTCAGGGAAACAGAAGAAAAGGAAACAGCATTAGTTTGACAGATTTTTTCTCCTTAGGACTTCACTTTATTTCATCTGATGATTGCTTGACCTTAAAACAACACAAATCCCACTAGAGAAGCTAAAATAACTTCCGACATTACTCTGATGGATTCTCTGATCTTCACCTACAATCCTACTATGTCAAAACATAAATTTTCTTCATTTCTCTGTTTGTGTTCCCCATTCGTTCTATTCATCTTTCCATTTCGTAGCCTCATAGAAGCTCAAGCAAGCCTTTGTAGAACTACTTGTGGTGATATCCCTATAAACTACCCTTTTGGAATTGATAATGGCTGTGGCAGCCCTTATTACAGACACATGCTTGCCTGCTCCGACCCTGGCAAGCTTGAGCTTCTTACACCCTCCGGTCGATACCCTGTACGCAGCATTAGTTACTCTGATCCTCATATCCTTGTTACGGATCCATTTATGTGGAATTGTCAAGATGGTGATAACTTTCGTCCTACTAGGCCTTTTAGCCTCGACACAAGCACGCATTTCTCACTGTCCCCTCAAAATGACTACCTCTTCTTCAACTGTAGTGAGGATTATGTGATTGTTGAGCCAAAGCCTATCTTCTGCGAGAGATTCCCTGACAGGTGTGATTCAACATGCGATAGTGCTAGTTATCTTTGCAGGCATTTACCTGAATGTGCCACAGCACTGCATGGTAGTTCTTGCTGCTCTTACTACCCCAAAGCAACAGAGTCCTTAAGACTGATGCTGAAGTATTGTGCTTCATATACAAGTGTGTATTGGAGAACTGTCGGCACAACCACTGATTCTTCATATAACCAGGTACCTGAATATGGAATTCGGGTTGATTTTGATGTTCCAGTGACTACAAACTGCCTTCAGTGTCAGGATCCATCCAAGGGAGCTGGAACATGTGGATTTGATACACAAACGCTGAATTTCCTTTGTCTATGTAAGGAGGGCAATGTCACATCCTATTGTAAAGGTACGTTTTAAGGCTGATTTGGACATTCTCAGATTTATAAGAAATAAGCTTCATATCACCCTAGAATTTTTTCTCTGTTAGTTTTTTTTTTCTTTTTTTTTTCCCTTGACAAGGCTGTCTAGCTTTGATTGGAATGTCTTGCCATGAAATTTTCTGATCACATTTTGTCAATCATCCCTAATCCCTTTAATAAGTTGGTCTTATCGGCTGTGCAGATCATGACATTTCTGGGCACAGAAGGGCAGGAGTGATTGCAGGTGAAATTAATTTCTATAATTTGGTCTAGAATTTTGTATTTCTAGTGCTAATTGTTGAAATTAATTAAGAAGATAAAATAAATATGGTGTAGGTGATGAACTTGTATATCAAAATACAAAGATTAGGCCTTTGATGATTTCTTATTGTTGCAGGGACTGTAACCGCAGTTTCACTTGCTGGAGCCGTAGGAATAGGGGTCGGTATTTGGTTCTCGAAGAAAGTGAGAGCTAAAGCACCTGTAACATGTGGGGTTCAAAGCAATGACAATAGGCTTTTCTGAAGAAAGTTTGAGTGTGGGCAAAGTTAAAGCAAGCTCAACTTTATTCTTTTTCTTTACTTTGTTAATCATGTTGAACTGTAGGAGAAACCTCCTTAGTGGTTTGTTCTGTCCTTTGTTTATAGTAAAAGAAATTTGACAGAGCTGAGGATTCACTCCAGTGACTTTGGTTCTTTTAACTGAACAATTAAGTAGGATTCATTTCAAGATTCAACCGTCTAAGTGAACTTTTTGATTAAAAAAAATGCCGTTCTTAGTAGCCAAATTTGGCTGTGTTTCGAGATTAGCTTACAAAAACCTTTTAGATTAATTAACAGAAGCTCCAAAATCAATAATCAATCAAATAAATTAATTTGAATGCAATACCTTCATTACATTAATGGCATTACAAGGGGAATGCTATGCACCTTTCACTTTGTTTCTTTTGTCAAATGACGCTTTAACGCATTGCCCTTTGCTGCATATTTCAGCATACTTGCACTTGTACCCGCACATCCCACAGTTCAAGCGACCTGTCTTCACATTAGCACGTTTCTTCTTGCAGCAATCTGGTCCTGGACTAGTGTTCTTCAGACGACAAATACGAGGAAACTTATCACATGTCACATTGGTTTTCAGGTTCTGCTGAGCTAGGAAGCAGCTCCATCATCGTAATGAAGTTTGACCTTGGATTTCAGAAGGTACTAGTTCAGTTTGAATGTGGGGGTTCTTCATCACAGTGGGCTAGACTTTGTTGCAGCAAAGATAGCCATGAGGTTGACAAATTGTTGCTGAGAGTATGAAGAAGATGGTTAACAACTCATGGCTATATCAATGAGGGGGAAAGTGTGAGGAGTTGAGTTGTGGATGTTTTGGAAGAAGATGGGATTTTATAGACAAATTTGGAAGAGTGATCGTTGACATTTGGGATAATGAATCTCAAGTCATTTGACTGCTTATAAATTACTGAGTATCTCTAAACAGAACTCAATTAATTGAATGTGAAGAGAAGATGCTTCCCTATGATTATGCACCGAAAACAATTACACCAATAATTCATATGTTACCAATCTAATCTTTTAAGTGATTATTCAGTTATCCATCAAGGAATTTGTTCACTAGCTTCATTCAAACTTTTAACCAAAGGAAGATACAGCAGATAAGACCATGCTTGAGCCTATGATCAGGTCAAACTTAATTTTGCTCCCCTACCGCTTAGGCTTCCTCTACTTATTAATTACTGGTATCAGATTCAGTTCATAGTTTTGAGCTTGTTGGTGAGCCTCTTCGACATTGGCAACTTCCTAGGCTTTTAGCAAAATCTACTTTTTCAATGCGCCAAGATTTACATGATTGATAATGTTTCTTCACCCCCTGCCAATTAGGCTTACATGTTTTAAAAAACTTGTTTGGAAAAGAAGGGAAAAGAGAAAAGTATGTAAGAAAAACTAGCCAGAAAAGCAAAACCTGCTAAAGAGCAGAACAATATAACATTGTATAATGCTATTAAAGCCTGACATGATTCCTCTATTTGGTAAGAAAAGAACATATTCTCGACAGCCCAGTAGAACTTAAAGAAAAATGTTGTACGACAAAACAAGTTTAGTTTAAAACAGAGAATCCCATAACATCCTACAACAATGCAACCATCTTTTAGGTGGAAAGCAAAGAAACTACTGTTTTCATTTCCTCGTGATTTCATTGTTGTTCCTTATCACAATTTTAACAAAGACCCTAAATGGTTTGGCCATTGTAAGCTGCTGATTGTTCCAACAGTGCAAAAACAGTTCTCAGAAATTGGTTTTTTTCCTTACTGAATATATTGTCTGTAGGCCACCTTACAAACAATAAAGATCATGACCTTCTATTGCCTTGTATTTCTCAGTTTGATCTTTCCTTTGGCATCTATCTCTGCCCAAGTTTCTTTATGCAACGAGGATCTCTCTTTCGCAACAATGGTTAGAAAAAATCAGGAGTGGCAAGTTGACACAAATTTGGTAGATATGGAGGAGCACCAGATGCAAGATACTTCAGTTCAGAGCTCGGAAAGTGGAGCAACAGCGGGCCTTAGACCATGGAAGGGTCGTAGCAACTGGCGTCACCAGCATCACCTAAAGAATGTATGTATGATTACTGAATATAACACAACAATAAATGCAATTTCGTTACTTCGCTAAATCTTTTCAATACCATCTCCTATACAATGTGAAGCCAACAGTGCATAAAATGATTTGCATGAATAACAGATGCATGGGATTCTAAACATCTTCGGATGGGGGTTTCTATTGCCCACTGGAGCAATCGTTGCAAGAAATTTCAGAAATTTTCCTTTGAAATGCGATGAATGGTACCAACTTCACATACTATGTCAAACTTCTGGCTACATAGTGGGTACAGTTGGATGGGGCATTGGCATATGGTTGGGGAATTCATCCAAACAGTACACTTTGAAGGCACATCGCATCTTAGGAATCATTATATTTACATTTGCAACTCTACAAGTAAGTGTAGAACGCTTCTTTCCGTTAATTAGGCAACAAAACTAAGCTTAGATTATCTGTCATAATTTCTTTGTGTGATTCAGATGTTAGCCCTGTGTTTACAACCGAAGAAAGAAGATGCATTTTGCAAGTGCTGGGAGATATACCATCATCTTCTAGGGTATGCACTGATTGTTCTAAGCATAGCAAACACATTTGAAGGGATCAGCACTATCCAAAGCCATGCTGCAGAGAAATGGAGGTGGATTTATGTGGGAATGCTTATAGTTTTAGTTTCAACAGCTGTAGCATTGGAAACATATAGGTGGATCAAGTCCAAAAATCAACAGCAGATGGCATTTGATGAGAACCAAATATATGGTTCATCAGAACAAATTTAAGTCTCCTTTTTGCGTTTCTTTTTCAATTGCGTTGGTCTGATTAAAAACTGAGAGGACTCTACAACAGGAAAACCGGAAACAGGTCCTTCATTACTCTTGCTGAAGTGGTAAAGTTTTTGTTTTGGTGGAAATGCTTCAGAGCTTCAGCTTTGGAACTATACTTTGAGAAATCTAATCGGGGTTCGTGTGATGTACCAATTTAATTGAATGTAAACTAGAAATATATGTGCTTGCTACATGAAATGAACAGAAAAATCTGAGGCAAAGAAAAAAAATGTAATTAAAATTATTAAACTAATGGAATGAAGATAATACTATTGAACTCAAATTGTCAAGCCCGAGTCATCCATGGGGGGTAAAATTCTGAAAACATAAGAGAAAGATCGATTAACAATAAATGTCAAGAATTATCTCAATATTTGTGCTTCGATATTCAAGTCAAAATTCATTTAAAAAAAGAAAAAAAGAAAAAAATGGGTTACAAATATCTTAATGAAATTATTTATACATGCACGATGGGGTCATTGGGTTTAAATAGCCCAAAATCAATGTAAAAAATTAGAGTTGATTTTGTAAACTCTGAATTAAGTTGATAATTGATTATTTATTCAAAGCATGATAAATTAACATCTTGAAATATTAATTGATAAGTTATAAAAGTGATCCAGTTGATGTGTTTCTCAAAATTTCAGATAAACTCAATTTGTTAATTTCATCAAAATATTTTCATTTGCCAATTGATTTATATTTAAAAACATGATTATTTTATTTTTTGGACACTAAAATTGTCATCACACCTATTAATACATAATAAAGAAAAAAAGTAATTAAAAATTAGATTAAAATACAAATTCCTTTATCTCTGAAAATTTTGAATTTTTAACATGTTAAAGCCTAAATAAGTATATATAGTTATATAGTATTATTCAAGTAAATGGAAGTACGAACATTGGGGCCATAAGAAAAATTGAATAAAATAAAAGAGGAAAAAGCAAAACGCACCGTGTTATCCCAAGCCCAAAACGCAACGTCTGGCCTAATACTCAGGACGCTGAGCTGAGCGAAAGTGAAAAAGGACAGCGAGGGAAACACGATCACAAGCGCTGATGAAAAATCCAGAAGAGTGTAAAACCAACAATCAACAACAACAACAACAAGAGATGGCAGCCTCATCGGCGGCAATGGACGGGGTGGCAGCGACGGCTCTCCGGTCTGTGCTCCAGAGAGTCCACCAGGCCGCCGACCTGTCTGGTCGTGAATCGCAGCGGATCCGCTTGGTTGCCGTCAGCAAAACGAAACCCGTCTCTGTCATTCGCCAAGTCTACGACGCTGGTCATCGCTATTTCGGCGAAAACTACGTCCAAGAGCTCGTCGAAAAAGCCCCCCAGGTTCTTTTTACATTTCCTTGAAAGCATCAAATCGGTCAATTGTTGTTTCATAAAGGCACCAAAGTGATAAACTTTTTGTAACAAACAATCCAACGTTTGTACCTGTGCAATAGCAGCTTCCAGAAGATATCGAATGGCACTTTATTGGGAATTTACAGAGCAACAAAGTGAAGCCTTTGATTGGTAAGAAAAACTTGTTAATGAAATTCAATGTGAACCCTTTTTTTCTTTTAACTAAAACAATTAGAAGATTATTGCTACGTTCTTTTGGGTTAACAGTGCGTTTTTGATTTGGGACTTGTGATTCGAATGTCTTGTTCATGTCCAAGTTTATTACTACTTTAAAGCTGCCCCTTTTTTTCTTGTATATTAATTTATCATTCATTGTTTTGCAGCTGGTGTGCCAAACCTTGCGATGGTGGAAACTGTAGATGATGAGAAGGTCAGTTAGAGAGTTATGAAGTATTGTGTTCATATCTGCCAGTAATAAAATGTTTAGGCTTGCTACAAATTACAAAGCTTAGATGTGTTGACAGTAACTTGAATAGAGACAACCGTATGTTAATTTATAGCTAATTTTGAATCTAATTTTAGCTAGACGAATATGACATTGATATATTAATTTATATCAATAATCATTATGTCATAACAATTGATTGATTAATGTCCAGAATATCAATCATATTGTGGTCCAATATTGTGCTTTTTCATATCAGTCATCACTGAGCACCTTTCTTGTTTTGGGCCAGATTGCAAATCATCTTAATCGTGTAGTTGGAAGTTTTGGAAGAAAACCTTTAAAAGTCTTAGTCCAGGTCAATACCAGTGGAGAGGAATGTAAGTTTTTTTTATCGTGTTACCACCAAATATACTGTTGTTAGTTGAGTTGTGTTAAGGCTTGCGCATTCAAGCTTATTATCATGACTTTGTTATTAAGTTTACAAGATAAAACTCGTCTGGTTTCTGTAGCTTTCAGTTCCATGCTATGCTCTATCTTATATGGCATTAGAAATAATAGAAAAAGACACAGTTCATTGAGGCTGAACATACTATGAGATTAGGTCAACTATATTTGCCAACAAATATGTTGCTTTCCCGTAATTAGTATGCATAGCTTTTTCGCTGACCGGTCACCTGGTAGTGGTTTTGAGATTATTGTCCTGCATCATGTTATTGCAGCAAAATCTGGTGTTGAGCCTTCAGGTTGTGTGGAACTTGCAAAACATGTTAGTCTGAGTTGCCCGAACCTTCAATTTCGTGGATTGATGACAATTGGGATGCTTGATTATACATCAACAGCAGAGAACTTCAAGGTGGTTGCACTTCCTATTTTGGTTTATCTTTACCTCTTTTTAATTGTTTCTTTATTTTTCTTACAAGACTATTTGATATTGCCAGACATTAGCAAATTGCAGAAGTGAGGTCTGCAAGGCTCTTGGAATACCAGAAGAGCAATGTGAACTATCAATGGGGATGTCTGGTGACTTTGAGCAAGCTGTAAGGATAGTTTTCATATGCTATCAAGAAAAGGAAAATCATGGATTTGTAAGAAGTTAATTTTGGCTGTCTTCATTGTAGCACGAAAATATTATACAAATGTTTGTGCCCTTACCACATCTTGTGCAGAAAGACTTGTACCCGTTTTGTGTCATCTTTTCAACGGCCAAAAGCAAGAAGTAGCATTTAAGTTCTTTATAACGTGTAGCAGAGACTGTTTATCTAATGGATTCTCTCGTCCTTTTTGCAGATTGAAATGGGAAGTACCAATGTCAGAGTTGGATCAACCATCTTTGGGGCAAGGGAATATCCAAAAAAAAAATGAAACTAACTTATGAAATTGACGGGCACATTACTTAGATCGTCATTGCATTGTTATTGAAGGAGTTGTACTCAATCCTTAGGCTGTTATCTTTTACTCTGGGTTGCTCTGGTTCGGTACCGGGCTTGTAAGGTGGATATAACCAAAAAAAAAAATGAAAAATCTGATGTTGGAATACATGGAACTTGTTTATATGCCTTCCAAATGATTCTAATAATAATTTAATCAATTAATTGATCCGAAATTCTGAATTGAACAATTAACCTTCTGGTATGAACTGGTATGAGCTATGAACTACAAATGCAAGTAGTCCAAAGTTAATTGTGTCCCTCCATCAAGTCAACTCTAGCACTCCTGATTCCTAGACGTTTCCCAGCCTCCTCAAGGCATGTACTTCTTTAAACCTCTTCTACCCTGGCCTCTCAGTGCACCAACGCATTGTTCTTCGTGGGTTTTCTTCAGATTCTTAAACAGTAGCTTCTTTTATCAATTTTTAAGCAACACGACAAACGCTCGCAAGGTTTGCTATTGTCCCTGGACTGCCTCTATTGGGTGCTATTGTCGTGGTGGCGACGTGGACATTGCTTTTTCTATGTATAATGAAATGCGATGCAACAAGGTCGAGCCTAGTCCGGTTACATTTTTAAGCTTGCTCTCTAGTTCCTTGGAGGTAGCCCACTTGCAGGCTTTGCATGGCTCTGCGGTTTTTGCTTCTCTAAATCTAAGACATATGCAGAATTGGATTATATGCTGCATGCTACCAAAAAAGGGAAAAGAAAAGAAGGTGATGCTCATTATTAACAGCTACAAAATATATTGCTCTTTATAACCTTGGACCACTTGATCATAATCTCAACAGCAATTTTTAGTTAACGAAATGAAAAAAAAAAAAAAAAAGAATTCGTGCTGACCATCAACGCTTCCCTCACAAGGCCTCTTTGAAACAAATATTATTTCAGCGTACCTTTCATAGTTATTTTTTCAGAGAATTGAATTTGGCTGGAGAGAATGAGACACTGATCCAATGCTTCTTAAAGTAAAAAGATACTTGGCTTATGAGGAGATGGGAATGCATAATCAAGAAGTCAATCAGATGTTTTACAAAAGGAAGACAAGATTGGAAAGGTGATATTTGAAAGTTTTTCTACCACAAATATTGGTTCAAGTTCAACATCAGAGAACTACAGAACAATCTGACTGCACAGACTTAATCTCCTAAACCTAACACAGACACAGATGTATCCAACACACAAGTTACTCACAGCCACCAGTTTGGGCAAAGCACACAACTTCTGCACTATACAACTCACACAACAACAGGCTACAAGCTAAATCTGCATAAAGAGTCTTCTCCTCTCATGCAACAAAATTTCCCCATGGCTTATCTCTTTCGTCGTTTGGGTTCCACCTGGAAAAGATAACAAAATGAAAAGTAGAGGCAGAACCTTGAAACACAAATAATTGTTTTCTAAGCAAAGAATTCAGATAAATGGGCTTTTTCTCTATATGCAGTGACATTTTGACATACAAAAATTCCCCCTAAACTTCATGTCTAGCATGAGATGATTGCCTAAACCTCTCTATGATGTTCTAAAAGCCCAATTAGCAAAATTAAAAGAGAGCTTGGACTGAATCACACCTGCTAATGCGCTAGATGTTTGGGCACATGTAGGTAACAACAATCACAGTCTTGACCAGCAAAAGGCAATGCTAATCTTAAAAATGTATTGAAATGGAAATAACAACCATAAAGACTGCTGGATAAAGATACAAAACCAATTGAAAAATCAGGCATATATGCAGGTATGATTCAACAATATGTCAAAAGATATTGTAGGCAGTCCAACCAGATCTATATCAACAAAACCAGCCAGATATGGCCTCCTACATTATATCAAAAAGCTATGGCAATTGACAGAAATATAGGAACCCAAATCTAAGACCTCTCCAGTTAAAATGCATTCATTACGGGAAAAGCAAGGGCATTGATTACCATCCCTTACATTCCCCTATTAAATGAACTTTTCTATCCATTTATAATTTGCAGTACTAACATAGATAACCAACATTAACTTGAGGATTTCCATTGAACGTAGTCTATATATGCTACACATTCCATTATTTTTAGGAAAAGCATTTGACAATTCATTGGAAGCACTCGAGGGTAATGGCACTTAAGGAAGAACCAGCAAGCTACTAATGCATACAATAAGCTCGGTTAAACAAACATGCACATACAGTCAAATATAAACCAAAGTAAAGTTTTCAACTATAGTCTCACACTCTGCAAGAAATCAAGAAATTTTATCACTGCTCAAAATAACTTCCACTACTTAGCAACCATTATTTTTTAATTGTTATTGGAACAACAATATCTCAATACCCTTTTCATGTTGCATGTAGTCTGATGCATGACACGGGATGAACATTCCTGTTAATTTCCTTTTACATTCTAAACTTCCTCAGAGGACACCAAAAATAGATCCAATAAATTGTGTATCCGAGGATTTGCAAGAACTAAGTTGGTTAAAGAATATAGAGAAAGATCATTGACCTTGAGTAAAGAGAAATTGGTTAAAAAATGGTCTTACCTTTGCATCAGAAACTGGCGATGGATGAAATCCATTCTGTGATCTTTTGACATCATCCTCAGAACATTCAGAACACACAAAGTGATCCAACCTTTTAGCTTCTTCAATTGTCATGCCCACACAAGCAGGATGATACCTACAAGAATGGCAAGGAGAACATTACAGCAATCTTAAAAAGTATTGGGCAGGTAGCACCAGGAAATCATCAAAAGGAAGCATAGAACACCATACCAGTCCTTGCAGCCCTCACATTGCACCATGAGATCATCAGGGTTGTATGGCATCTCACATTTGCAGTACCTTCAAAACAGAAAAACCCCAGGGCAGCAAAGGATCAATGCCATATTGCCAATAAGTTAAAATCATATTTCACAAACCAACAAATCATGGTACTCACACAGCAACTCGGTCAGGAGTAAAGGCTCCAGTAGCAGCTTTATACTCGAATCTACAATAGTAATCCTCAGCCCCAACATTCTCAAGCTTAGTGTAGTTCTTGAAAGAATGAACAATGCACTTCCCTTCAATAGTGTGAGCACTCTGGACATCATAGTGGTCAGACAAAAACAGCTCCTTTGCTCCATGGAACTGCCTCCTTCCTCCAAGTGACTCCTCAGGACGATAATACCACCGCACTCGAACCTTCACATTATTCCTGCTATCCGCTTCAATTTTTTCAATACGTGCCACATACGGGGGCTTACCAGTGTCAGAAGGACGCATCAGAACACAATCCCCAACTGCAAAAACATCAAACTTCACTCTTAGCCATCACAAACTATGTTTTCTGAACATCTATCTACAGCTCTAAAACACACTTATATGCATATACATTGATGTTGATATGCATTTGATAAATGCATCAGCAATCCCCAGTCCCAAAGCCAACCCCTTTACTTTGCCAACAGACTCACATCTTTCAACATGAATGCCTTTGCATCCATTAAACCCATCAACAAGTAAAACCCGACTATCAAAACAACCAAACATTCACTTCTTAACCATCAAAATTAAAGCTACTAGCAATATTTGAAAATTTGATATCGATAAACACGAAATGCCAAGATTCGAAACTCTCAGAAAACATATTCAGCATCACCAAAGCAACAATTTTTTTTACTGCATATACGTATTCGTAGGTGTATATCTACGTGTAAAACACTGTACCTCTAACAACTTTGTTGGTGCCTCTAATAGTGTAAGAGTCAAGGTCCCTCTTCCCTGGTTTGGGCTTGGCAGCAGAGAGCCCAGGTCTTGTTTTTGCCATGGAAGCTAGGTTTTGGAGCTGCAGTCAAGATCAGGGTTTTTAAAGGGTGAAACTATTATTAAGTTTTGAAGAATTAAGGGGATGAAGGAAGAAAGAATAACAAAACCTAAGTTTCCCTCATGGGAGATAGAGAGAGTAGAGACAACTCAGACAAGAAGAAAGTAATCTCTGGAGAGTATACAGACAAGAGCTGGAGTTACAGTGATTTTATTTTAATTTTAATTTTTATTTTATTAAAAAAATACTAATAATAATGTGGATAATTTAAAATTAAAAGTGTTTTTTGACTCTCTGATTTCCCATGTGATGTAAGAAATTGGCTAATTAGATGATGCCACGTTCCTCATCGGCCATTTCTTGACCCATTTTTTCATTTTTGCCGCAATAGAATAAGCAGAATAGTTCACTGCTGGGCTGCAGCTTGAGACCCACACAGACCACAATCGGTCAATGGGTATTGAAACAAAGGGGTGCCAAGATTATACATCAATTCACCAATTCAGGTCCGTGAGGTGGCTTTAACTTGATGATTAAAATTGAAACAAAGGGGTTTTGGGGAAAAAAAAATGAAACACAGGGGCAGCGAGCCAAACCCCCAATATTTGTTTGCCCTTTCACTTGTCATTGGTTATTTTTCGGGATCTAGAAACAATTGCATGTCCAAGTAATTCAGAGTCACCAGGACCATGTTCCACATGGAATGAACTTGGTCGCAAATTTTGTTCTTTAACGGCGATAAAATTTATTACTACAGTACAAGAAGAGAAAGTAACAAACCCGTCTTTATAGCCAAAGTCGACAGCACTCTGTTTTTTGGCTCAGCAAATAAAATACACATACATCAAACCAGGCATGAAAATTTTATCGAGATAACACAAATTGTTTGAGGGGTTTTTTTTTACTTTTATTTTCAGCTGCTTCTAGAAAAATGCTAGGCTTCCTAATCCAAAAGAAAACTAATAGAAGAAAAGGCACACAATTCTAGTTCAACGGTTGATTGGGGTGTGCATTCGCTCAACAATCCTGTTAACAGCATCACGGGACATCACTAACGTGTCATGCAGCAAGATGCTATAGACATTCAAGCCCTGCAAAAACATAATAAAGCCTCAGCATCATGAAGGAAAACATACAACCAACTTCAGAAATTGCTAATTTAAAGCAATCAAAAAACAGGGTGCAATCCTGATGACAAACATATGAATCAAAGGGGAGATCCCTTTGAGCAGTGGAATAATTTTAAACCTAAATCTATCATGATGACAGTGATAATAAAAAGTTAATAAGACAGTGTGTCACCACGTCGTTGATGACAAAGGCAAGCCAGTAGTTTGACCATATGTTTGATAACAAATAAAACAAAAATTAGTATATTCTTATTATTAATGTAACTTACAATTGACGGCAGTACATTGACATAATGTAGATTTTGTGTAGCTAGCTTCAATTTTTCATTTATGGGGCCACCATCCACCAGCAGAAGTTTCTTGGTATTCTCCATTTGGTTTACATAGTTCACAATATTTTTGGTCTTATGTGTAGGGACCTCCAAATCCTCAAAGACAAGAAGCTGTACAATTGTGCAATATTTATCAGTTAGGTTTCATAATTCAAATACGATTGAAAATCATTGTTTTGCATTTATTAACACGTGTAAACAATATACGATGAAATGAAAAAACTTTAACTGTTTTTCACACAAGCCAGATGATAATGAGTTACCTTTCCTTCTGCAGCACAAGCAGACAAAGCAATCCTCAGTCCAAGACGTCGAACCTTCTTATTCAACTTAATAGCATGATTTCTTGGCTTAGGGCCATGCATGGTAGCACCACCTCGAAACTGTTATCAATCCATAAAATCAATTAAAGGCCATAGAAAAATGTCAATATAGCCCTAAAATTCTTAAAATCAAAGAGCAAAATAATGAATCACCTGGGGGCCGCGCAGTGTTCCATGCCTCGCTCGACCAGTGCCCTTCTGTTGCCATGGCTTCCTACCAGTCCCACTAACCTCACTAATAGTTTTTGTTGAATGAGTTCCCTGTTGACCATTCAATTGTCATTAAACTTCATACTTAGCAGACTAATTGCATAAATGAAAAAACTGTTAATGCAATTTATGTAGAACATAAACAGTGTATAAATGTAAAAGAGCAAAATTAACCATAAACAACCCCCCCCCCCAAAAAAAAAAAAGTATTAAGTTTAAAAACTTAGAAGGAATAGTCTAAAGAATTTCAAATTAACACCAAGAGGGCCCTAGAAGTGTGTTTCAAGTATCCAAAAGGAACAATGAAATGGCACCTGTTGTCGCTTTGCAAGCTGCCATAGTACAACACGGTGGATAATATCCTTTCTAATAGGTACATCAAAGACATCACCAGCCAAAACCATTAAGCCTTTGTCTTCATTATGAAAATTTGTCACAGGAATTACCAGGTCCTGGTAAAGTCCTGCACCATAATACACTAGTTCAATAGAACACTGCTCCTTATTTTAAATAACAAAGCACCATTGACCTATTCCAGTTATTACTGAAATACTTATAAATTGAACTCAGTTTAACCAACACAACATGCCAAATAGAAGGCAATATAAAAGCAACAGCAGAGATTCAGGTACACAAGTTGACATATATCAAGATGATTTCGAGAGGCATGTCTTAGCACAGAAACAAACTATAAAGTGGCTTGATAACATTATTAGGCCTGCATCCTTGATATCCTTAAATATTTTAGAAAGCAAACTATTGTAAAACGAAAGTGCCACTACTTATAACTATCAAAATATTTTTTATGGCAAATAGCTACATAAGCAATATGGTTTCATATTCTTTTACATACCTATAGTACGTTCTGGTGTTTGTACAGTCTTTGAAGACAGCAAATCAGATGGAAAGTCACCTCCACTTGGATTAGGAGTCAAAATTTTAGTTGAAAACCTCCGACAAGCAAGGAAGGACGGACCACTCTACATCAAATAAAATGTAGCATAGGTTTGTTAAAAAAATCACAAAGACCTGCAACATCAATCGACCAATAATACAAAGAGACTAAAAGGAGGTAAAATATTGAAACAAGAATCAAGAATTCTTACAATGTCTAGAAAAGGTATAGTGACACCTTCACTAGATGAAGAAACAAAAAGTCTGCTATAAGATATCCTTATTTGAACAATGAAAGACGATGACAAATTAACCCATTAACTAGTAACCTCAATTCCATCCCCCCCTCCCACCCCAAAATCCCTTTTCTTAAAATTGATTCCCCACAGTTTTATTGGTTAGATTCTATGCAAAATATATTTTAGAAACAAACAAAATGAGAACATACCTTGGAAAAGCTAAAACATTCTGCATGAGGTAACTTATCCCCAGAAATATGGCCACTCAAATCTGGTTAGGGAGAAATAAAAAGAACGGTACCAAGTTATTCAATCAAGATAAGCAAATGAACAATGTTGACATCTTAGTATATTACTCTTACCAGAATCTTGACAAGAATGTAATGTGACACTTAAAGAATCGCGACGCCCCAAGGCAGACAATGACCCAAAAGAACGAACAATCCTTCTAGAGATCGACAAAGCCATACTCCCAAAAATCAGGAATTACTTGTTCAATAGCAGCAAGACAAAGTCACCTGCTCATCTACACCGCAATATTCATTCAGTTTATGAACTTAACCTAAGATTACAGTCCACAAATTTAGCGAAAATCGCAAATAATATATTCATAAACCATTTCAATCAAACTTTTGTATCTAACATTATGAGCATGAAGTGTTTGATAAAATTCCATATAAAAGAAACTTAGAATAAGAAAAAAAATGCAAAAAGAAATGATAGAGATAGTTTCCTTAAACCCTATAGAGCTACTATAAAATCTAAATGGGGTGGAACTGTGGAAGTCAATTCAGTTTCTTATCAAAACATTAATAAATTCTTAAAACTAATATATGAACGGACTTAACAAATGCAGCTGAAACAACAAGGTACCATGAAGACGGATGTGGACGAAATCTGGCCGTTGAATGAGGCCGGAGAACGTTCTCCGTGGATCGTTCCGCTGGAGGGCGTCTTTAGAGAACGGAGGCAAGGGTTAAGCAGCGTGCGTTTTGTCGTATTGCAAATGGAAAGGTAAAACGCCAGCTCGCTCGTATTCCAAGTTTTATTTTTTGTGTTTGAGCCAAGTGACGTTAGGGTTAGGGCTTTTATTGGGCGTTTATTTGGGCAAGCCGAATAGTCTGGGTTTTTATTTAGACAAGCCCATTGCATACTTCTTTTTCTTTTATAGGAATACTAATTATTCATTAAATAAAGATGGAATTGGAATTGGAATTTCATGATCATGTCCTATTCTTTTCTTTATCTTTTTACTGCAAATAAATTTTTTTCAATAAAATTAGATGTGTGGCTTGGGATTTGAAATGGGTTCATTTTTATTATATTATTTTTTTAATTTGACAGTTTAAAAATTATTAAGATACAATTTTTCATATGAAGCATTTATAAGGCTGTAGATTTGTTGAATTCAAGAAAAATAATTATGTTTTCTTATTGAGGTAGATTATATTGCATGTCATTAATTAACAAATAATCTATATATTACTCCTTTCATTCTTTGGTGCCAATAATTAATATGCAGCCTTGTTCTTTTGTCAAGATACACAGTGAAAACTAGAAACACAATTTTTTTAATGAAAAGGGTGACAAACATGGCAATGGCATCACTGTTGACCTAGGACAGATTAAACAAGGGAAAATCATATAAATTAACCAGTAATCTCTCAATTGTTCCCCTGATCATTAAGCATATGCTTAATGTAACAGTCTGCTTACCATTCCTTCACCCCACTCGGAGGAAAAGAACACAATATATATGCTTTTAAACAGTCATAACTTGATTATATATATAGAATAAATAGCCTCAAAGTGCATACAGGAGGCATGCACATGATAATACGGCATAAAATATACTCCCAAATTGATTATGACAGTTGGAATATAAATGCAGTTGCCTTCAAACTTCCCAGAAGTAATGCATCCACATATTCATCATCTTTAGAGAAGTGTGGGAGAGAGATCCATGGGAAAGGGATTGCCCAAAATGTTGTCCATGTAATAGTGTGGGTGAGTTGCATCCATTACCACAAACTGCATATCTTCAGATGGCTTCCAGTGCCTTTTCCTTTGATTAATGAACCAGTTGTTTATTTGCTTCTGATCCAGACCAGTTGACTCAGCAAGGGCAAGCTTTTGCGACTCCTGTTGGCAAGTTCAGTTTCACACATGTGATTAACAAATAAATAAATGATATAAGGTGGACCATACAATAATACAAGGGAAAAAAATTCCCTCAAGACTGCTTGCAACGCAAGCCATTTATCAACAGAAAGCTATGTGTTTTAGAAAATTTCCTAACATAAATAAGAAGATATTAAAATGGTACCAAATCAAGAGCAATCTTGATTACAAATTAATAACATGTGCCAAAGCAAAAGTTTCAAGTTACCAATAGTAAGCGCTTGCCATTGAAGGCTTAAAACATGGTGAGTAGCAGATGCCAAGTCTAAGAGGAGAAAATTTTTGAGGGAATTTTCATATAAAACCTGGAATGGTAGTAGTAGATGTTGATGTGAAGTACCTGAAGGGCTGAATCAAAAAGGAAAACATGATAGTATATGCCACCTGATCTAGCTTCAGGCTTATTGGCATATGCCCCCACCCCCTTTATTTTTCACTTTTTCAGAAAGGGAAACAATTGGAGAGAGAGAGAAAGTTGGAAGCTTATAGATTTTGCATTAGAATTTCCAATTGCGATGCAAAAATAGATGAAAGTGTATATACCGATGGGTAAGGCCATTTGTAATGTCTATTCCACCAATCCAGCAACTGTTGCCTGGCTTCCTTAGGCAGCTTCCCTTTCTTCCTCTTCTTCATAAACTCCTGCTTCAGACTGCCTAAATATCCACTGTACTTCCTTAAAAGCTGACCTTTAAGTTCTCGATCTTCTGCAAGGGGATCAATGAAATTGTTGTTCACATCAACCTCTTCCTCAGATGATCCTTTCATGTCAACAGCTGAATACAGAATGAATTAGTAAGCATCTCAAATGAAAAACATATCCCCTTGTTGCTCAAACCAGATCGTGTTGGCATATTATTTAATTAATCAACACAAGTAGATAAAATCCTATGTCACAGATAAAATTCATTTCTCCCCTCAACAACCGAATCCAATAAAAGGAATGCACTAATCAATACTTAGGTTCAAAACTTGAGCTAGCTTGACACCTCTATATTTAGCTGGTTTTTTGCTTTCTTGCCGAAAGTATATGCTCAAGATACAGTCTTTTACACTTAAGAAAAAAGTCAATTTCTCCATCATGTAAAACACACATACTATTAGAAACTTGAGAATTCTCGAGAGGTAATAAACACTGCAACACTTATCAGTTGGTAATATTGCTCTTCGATTAGGAAACTAAATCATAAGAATACATAAGAATATATTAATGCAATCATTTCCATTGATGTCGCTTGATTCAACATAAAGGTTCAAGAATTTCTGCACACCATGCCCTGACCAAACAATAAGGAAAAAAAAAAAATTGAGTAGACTTCAATGTATCAGATGTATATATAACCAATTTGACCTTTCTTGCCCAGTAGCCTTGGGGGTTCTTTATTTACTCTCAATTTTCCTTTTCTCAAGAACTAACAAAAAAAGAGAAGGGAAATTATATTTTAGTGAAGATTGGCCAACTAATCTATAAACCAAGAAAAATATAAATTCTTTAAGTCAAAATTCGTGTTTGATTTTATGTTAATGCCTCACCAGAATGTAAAAGCTCACCAAGTATTATATTAATGTCTTCAACAAAATCATCATCAGACAAATGTTACAAGACGAAACAACCTTAACTCCTTAATTACCAAAAGAAAAAGGAAAAATGAAACAAACACACCTATCCTAAGCCACTAAGATTAACTTGGAGCTGGCAAAGATATCTAAATGCTAACCAAAGAACTACCACTAATGCTGATTAAATTTTAGACATCTAAATGTCAATCTAAACAAAAAATTCTAATTAAAATGGTGGATGGAACTCTTCACAGAGGCTCAAATAGGTGAACAATACAAGATCACAAGCTTGAGGTCTCAATTACCAGGTCAGTCAGATAACCCATCATAAGGCCATAAAGGTTTAAAACATTCAGCCATGGAAAGTGAAGTTTGAATGCTGCATAAGGCAAGAAAATTAGGGCCAGAAATTAATATATCAGAATTAGAAATCGACGGGGAAGGATTTACTTTATTTTTCTGGGGATAAAATTTTGTACTTCAAAAGGATTCTATTGTGTCTTACTTATATTTTCTATAAATTGTGAATCCAGCCTCAAAAATCAAAAACCTGAATTTTGAAAAATGAAAAGCTAGTGTCTTCAATTTACGATGATAGTGTCATTATTTTACAAACAAGTAATTCAAAATCAAACCATACACTAAGAAGCACAACTGAAGAATTGAAGACTTGTTAAGTACAACATCTATAACAAATAGAAATCATCAAAGTGCTTTAAGTTTCAAACATATAATCTTCTAATGGGCTCCACTGCTCTCAGCAATAGCAACAAGCATCCGATGATCAAATGCTTTGAGAAGGGCCACAAAGAGGTAATTCAACTTATTAAGAACACTGAAACGATCAAGCATAAAACCACTACGTGACAGTGTTTATTCTCAAGAGCATCAGTCTCAACTTATGAACTTTCATGCTTTGCATTAACCTTGCAAATAAAAAGCCACAAATCTTCGTTTTTGTTTCATACATCCCCTTACTAATACTCAAAATTTGGTAATCTAGGAACCCTAGTTTGATCAAACCCTAGTCTTAAAAATTTTGATTAATCTCTTTAGTTTTAATCTTTGATGTATATAATTCAGTAGCGACAAACCTACAAATATTACGACACCTTTTCATTTTACCATGTGGTTGACTGTAGCCCAAGGTAGCTAGCTGCAACATATTCCATTTTCGGAAGACTTTGCAACCAAACCAGCTGGTCCATAGTTAGCTGCCCCAAAAATTTCCTTCTTCAATCTTGACTTCAAAACCCTCAATATACCAAAAAGATGTTAACCGGCTGTTTGCCAAAAATTCTCATTTTCCATCATGGTTAAATAACAAAACAATACATCTTCCATGTTACAGCTAGCACAAGTTGATAAGCCATATCCTTTATGGTTGAACTCCAAAAAGGTGAAAAAACGTGTCCATATCTAGCATGCCAGAAGACTTCACAAGAAACCAAGAAAGCACATCAAGAAGAGAATCAAAACAGGGAATATGTACTATTGTTTAGTATGGATACCCTAGTTAGTGAAACAGTTCCATACCCATTATGAAATGAGTAGCAAAATTTTAGAGAAGCATAAAAGAAGAAAACACGAGAAGATGCCAAAAAAGTAAGGAATGAAAAACTTGAGCACCGCTCTTGGAAAAAAGCTCCTCTAGCCATACATTATTTTGTTAATTAGTAAAGCTACATGTCCAAGAGACAGATATGCATGGCAGATTGTTTTAAATTTAATGTTAGGAATAATGCAATTCGTAACAGCAAGAGGTTAGAAGGTGAAACGCTAAGAAAGCACAGGTTACACAGACAAAAGCGAGAAAATATTATCACCAGAATTAGGCGATGAAACTGTGAGGGTTTTGAACTGACACTCGACCCTTTGGAGGAAAAGCATGGCTTCCTTGAAGGGTTTAGAGAGCTCTTGCTCGTATTTAGTCAGCATCTCACAATAAGCCTCCATGAACTGGTCAAGCGCTGGATCTTCACCTAGGCAGCTGGTACTAGTCGGACCCATAGTGGCTGCAGGGGCGCATGCTTCTTCTAATCTCGCCACCACTTCAGGCGGTGCTCCTACCTACTTAGTTAACACCGCTTTCATTAGAAAAACAATGATCTCTTCGCTACTAGGAAGACAAAAAAGAAAAACTTTAGACTCATGTCTCTATCACACGTATATCTTACTCAAAAAGAGTTCTGACCTCTCGCTTTCATGACAGAAAAATTTAAGATGCAGTAAAGCAAAAAACATGAGAAACTAGTTCGATGACATACGGGTATAAAAAATTTTCCCTCTCAGCTAAAATTTGTCAAAAGAAGTGACACAAGCATTTAAGTGTATCCACAACTTCAAAAAACTCGGTATCAGTTACATATCCGAACAAGTCTATTTTCGAAACAAGAGGAAGCGACGAGTGCGTGCTTTGTGTGTTCTTGGAAGAAGACTAGCCGAGAGAGAGAGAGGGAACGGGGGAGGTTTTTAGGCAATTGGTAGCAGGTTCATAAGTCAACCAGTTCGGTTTTTCACCTTTTGACAATTAACATAGGCGGCCAAGAGACGGTGGTAGTGAGGATGAGCCATGATCTTGGCCTTGACAGAGGAAGAGCTGCCATCGTTGCTCTCCATGAAATAACATCCGGTATTGTTGTTGGTATTGGTGTTGTTGTGATCGTCAAGAATCATAGAGGAGCCACTGCTGCTATTGTGGTTTTGGTCTTGATTGTTGGTGGGAGGTAAAGGAAGAAATAAGGAGTTTGAGTCCGAATTAGGATGATGATGAGGGTGAGAAGTCGTGAGAGGCACCATTGTCATAGGACATAGTCCATTACTATTGTGTCCAAACGCCATCATGCAAGAAGTGCTATTGGAACCACCTTCCATTATCTCTCACTATCTTATCTTTTTTTTCTTAGCTGTTGTTCACTTGGGGCTTTGCTATATAACAACATAAACCATTCTCACTCTCTTTTTTCTATATTTCCTTCTTTTTCTTGCTTTCTCGGTTCTCTCTCTCCTACGCAATCTGTTTTGCCCTAAAGATTGTTTGCATCTCCAGAACTCTCCCGAGATTTAAGCTACAAGAACCAGGCTTTTTACAGGAAATCCTAAATATTGATAGTAGTGGAAGGAGCGGCAGCAGCAGCCAGTCAGATTAGAAATGTGGGTTTTTACTCTCTTGGCAGGTCTGGCAAAGCCTGCTCAGATTTCCTTCGGAAAACGGGTGTTTATCTTTCTAGTCATTAGCAGCATTAACTCTCACTTTCCAGTAGAGGAGACACTCTCTCTCCGTCTCTCGAGCTTCTATTTCTTGCTCTTCTTTATAAGGAAGAGAGAGAAGAGAAGGGTTGCTGTGTTTCAGTAGGATTGCACAGAGCGCACGCGGTGTATGCAGAGAGAAAGGAAGACAAAACAGAGAAGAGATGGCGGTGTTTCAAGTCTCATGCTATGTGGCGGGTATTGTTATCTTTGAGGCACTGGCTGCAAAGCTTTACCTTCCCGATGAAAACTCTCCCCCTCTTTTCTTGCACTGCCACTGCTGCACTGCCATTACAGGCAAAGAAAAAAGAAAAGAGTGAGATAAATTAGATTAGATTATAATTTGTTTTACAAGGTAAGAGAAACTACAAGATAATTGAAGAAAAGAAAAGAAAGAGAGAGGGACGATCAAATCGAGGAAGGAGAACCAAAAAGTCTACTAGTGACGAAAATAGGAAAGGTTTTTGGGGCACGGAATCACAATTCACAACCTTCTCTCTCTTTCATCCTGTACGTACTGTGCTCTACACTCATCACTAGGGGTTTTCCATAGCAATCTGTCCACTCATTTAATATTCGCACTTTTGTTGTCCGCTCCTTCGCTTCCCTTCAAACCCTACCCGTAAACTATTTTTTTTCAGGATGATGGAAGGTTGGATCGATATGAATTTTTCGTTTTCAAATTCAATATTTATATTTATAATATTTAAATTTAATTTGATTTAAAAATATTTTTTTATTTTTTTATATTTAAATTTGATTTGATATTATATAAATTATATTTAATTTAAAATTAATAAAATATTTTTAAAATATAAAATATTATTTTTAATATAAATATATAATTAAATAAATAATTAAAAAATTTATATATATATCCAATCATATTTGTTTAAAATTTAATATAAATTTTTTTATTATTATCTAATCTAAAATTTAATTTTAAAAAAAATTAATTTTAAAAAATTAAATCAAATCAAAATTTATCAAAAATGAATTAAGTTGTCAATTCTAATTTTTTTCATAGATTAATTTTACTCCATGAAAGTTAGTCTAAATTAATGTTAATAACATATGATGTTTAATTCTTCATGATATTATATGCTTTTATATGTCCAAATCAGTCTATTAATAGTCCAAAGATAATATAGTAAATTTCTTAATTAGAATCAAGCATGTACCATATATTATATTTTATCGAAATAAAAATGAAATTAATCATATTAGTACAAGAAATTTGTACTTTTATTTTTTATTAGGTATTTTTTTAGTTAAATTAAAAAGATAAAATTTTAATACAAATAAAAAAATTTTGATTCGAAATTAAATTTTTTATATTTTTTTAAATATTTTTAATTATTAAACTAAAAATTTGAGAATATATTTTTTTAATTAAGTATGATCTTATAGGAAACTTAACGTGGAAATGGTTTTATTGTGTGCAACACTTTGGTTTTTATTACCTCGCAAAAGAAGATTTTAATCAATAATTGAGCATATATATGCAAACTGTTTACTTTTAATTTATAATGAAAAATACCCACACTTTAATCATAGGGGTAATTTATGAGTAATTAATTAGGAGGATGCAAAAATATATAATATAAATTTTGATTTTGTTGCAGGAGCGGGTGACTGCTTTCAAATCATTCTCCAGGAAAATAAAATAAAATAACGCTTCCAAAAGGGAAATTCATAGATCAGGAGAGTCCGGATGAACACACAGGATAAAATCAATTCCTAGAGATTTTAAAAATCTCTTATACTAATTGTTAGTCCCAGTCATAGCATCTAATCCGCAATTATTCAACATAGAAAAAAGTTGTTTTCAACTAGTTAGAAAAGCTGGTAAAGCAAGTGGGACAGTCCGAATGTCTCCCTCACTCCCTCATATTAAATGTTGTAACTCTCCTCTCTAGCTTCCACTTCCCTCTGTGAGGCTTTGTATATGTGTGTGTTCGGCACCATGGGATACGGCTCCAATCAAGTTGAACAATTTGTCTTTTCCCTTGTCTCCCTAAGCATCCCCTAATTCATCTAACAGTGCCAATGTTTTGCTATACTAATCTTACTGGAGTGCTACTGCCTCTCACAACTGGTCTGTTCGCTTCTGCAATTGCTACCAGTATGGTACAGACTATTAATGTCCTTTTTTATTAACTGTTTCAAAACACCTAGATCAATCCATACACAATGAGGACTTTAATCCTTTTTGTTCATGTAAGTACGCATGGGATCAAGGAATTTTCTTAATTATTATAGGCTTTTTTTTTCTCTCACAGGTTCCCATGAGGTCCTACTGTATCGTACTGTTCATTTAAATCAATGTAATATAGTCATATGACGTTTGATTAGTAGATCTGAGATCATTAAAGTTATTAGATAATTAGCTCATATAGAAGCATATATTCTGGTATATTGTTAAAACTAACAAGAAATTATTCAATGAAAGATCAAAATGCTACATGTTGGTGAAAAATTGATTATCTTCTCTTTGTTTATTTGAAATATTTATGCTCATATATATGCTATGGTCTTCTTTAGTAAAACTTGATCATCGTGTCAAAGATATACATGTGGCTTCTTCTTTCATCTTGGCCCTTGGCCATGTTTTATCGCTGGCCTAGATTTGGTTGCATCCTCTCATTATCAAAGCCCAGATATCATGTTGTGCATGATCAATCCAAGTCTTGCAAATAGATTCGAATACGTTCCAAATTATGTCCTGATTCTGGCATTTAAAACAAATTCTTTTATTCTTGGAGAAATTTATACTATGCTAGCCTAGCTAGATATATTGAAAGGGATGTATTTACATCACTGCAGAAGAACACAGACATGCTTCTTCTAGGGATGCGCCAGCACTTGAGTGTTCTAGCAGTTAGTGAAAACGTGCAGAACTTCAGTTAATCCACTGTATATGCGTAGTTTTTATTAAATCGCGGTACTCATAAATAATAATATAGCACACCTGCAATGTCAGATTACAAACTTTGTTTCATTTTTAACATGATGTTTGACGCACTAGCTGCGCATTTAATTCACATTAGCTACGTTGCATTGCCGTCCGAGTCCGCTGCCGGGTCGCGTTTTCTTTTTCAGCCAATAGAAAAGAGCTTCATTCAAGAAAGTTGAATACTGCAGCAAATGCATTTTCTACTATAAAAAACCAAAGAATGATACATATACGAGGCCAGAGACGGACTAGCCTTGACAATAATGAGTCAAAGACTAAAGCTTGCTGGGAAAAAACACACACACACACGTGAACAATTAATAAGTTACACAAAACATTGAGAGCTAATAATATGGTTTCAAATTCGAGTTCGTGAAATTAAATGACTTTGGAATGAATGTTTGAGTAATTTGTGAGTCTTTTATATTTTCATACACAACATATAAATCAACATCTCAATCCAAATGATCAAAATCACAAACATATTCACATCAAATTAACCTTTTAAAATTACAACCAGTAGGTAACGCTCTCCTGGTAAATTTACCGTGTTTAATTAACAAATCAATGCGATATTTGACCCTTCTCCCAGTCAATTATTAAGAAAATCAAGACAAAGGAAACAGTTCTATAGGAACCTTTCTTTCGTTTTTTTTTTTTTTGTCTTTTTCTTTTCTTCGACGTGTACATAATGTAGTTTCGATAGCATCACTGGTATTTTGCCATAAAAGCCAATAAACCCAAATGAAAACAGGAGGTGAACTTATTTTTTCCCCTTCTATTGCAACATCTATTAAGGGCTTGAGTCAGGGGTTAGGGTTAGGTCCAAGGCCAGGTGCTAGGCTATAAAGCTCAAGAGAGAAAAAGACGAGAAAGAGGGGTTATAGACATGTAGTACGCGAATCCATCACAACAGCGTAAGAATAAAAGCAGAGAAAAAGCTTAGAGAGACGTCACTGGTTGTGTGAAGTGAGAAGCTGAGTGTGGGTGGTGGTGGTGAACTGGTGGCCAGAGAGAGAGAGAGAGAGAGAGAGAGTACAATATGGGGATCATGGAGACAGGAAGGCTAAGTTCCTTCAAGCAAAAGCTTTTTTTTTCTCATACACTTTACGTCATTTCCATCAACAGTTGCATGATAAGAAGGTGAAATTAAAAAAGAAAAAAAATGAAATGAAATGAAATGAAAAGGGGAGGGAAGAAGAAACAAACAGCTGCTTCTGCGCTACCTGGAATTCAATAAATAAAGTTAGGACTTTGAAAGACGGATATCGGAGTATATTTTTCTTACCCTTTCTTTCTTGACCACTTCGTGTCACGAGCCTCCTCACCAGCCCCTCAGCCCCCAGGGCAATCAACAACAATTCCAACATTTTTTTTAACCATCATTGACATAATTGTAAGCTTATTAGTTAGTTCACTGTAAGCTTGGTTATTATTAACTCTACTTCTTTTCAACCATATATAGGCATGAAATGAACTTTTTTACAACATGCAAAAGGTTTAATTTTTTCCTAATTAAAACCATTAATTTTATCTTGATTATTACTAGAGTGTAATTGTTACTACCTGCCTTGACTAGTCAAAGAGAGTATATTGCAATCATGATCATTTTGAAAAGTAAACTTTATTTTTTTCTTTAGGCGAAAGAATTTTGAAAAGTAAGCTCATCAATTAAGTATACATAATGAATACAAATTTTCTTTCGGTTTTTTTTTTTAATTTTCGTTTTGGTGTTCCCAAAAGTGGACCTTCTTGTTGGTTTTCCTACATTTTGTTTTTAATAATGGGAACCAATATATTTGAAGTTAACATGTAGAATTATGAATTTATAACCCAATTTGAAGTGCATTCCAAAGCCTAAACCTGAAAGAAATATGCCAATGATTTAGACAGGAAAGTTTAAGCTTTCAGCTTTGTACTTTTTATTTTCTGTTTCTAGTAACTAAGGTTGGTGAAATATATAACAAGTATTAAATTGTTTAATTAGTACTACTAATCCTTTTTCACATTAAGTTTGGATGAGATTAAATGATAGTTAAAATGTCATCAAATATCATTGCTTTCACAGACGCATCCCACCTTGTACACATAATTATACAGTGAAATAAGAAAAATCCCAGAGCTTGACAGCAAATCAACTTTATTTAATTATTGTTGCTATCAAACATTGTTGATGATTATGATTTAAATTTTAGGGTCAACTTCTAGATCTAGATTAGAAATAACCACTTGGAGAGACAACAAATGCTTTCAACAGCTCTACTCTCATCATCCCTACGATCTAATCTTCACCCTGCGAGAGAATATATATAAACCCTACCTGCCATCCATTTCAAAGCAAGCCAGTCTTCTCATGAAGTTGGATAAGACTACACAATTTAGGATTTGACATATATAATATATAGATGTTTATTTAACCATTCTATTTGATTCACAAATTTAGAACAAAGGTAGGGTTGTCTCTTCTCTTCTCCACAAGCAGCTACCTAGCTTATCATTTTATTCCATTAGTGGCTTTTCTATTCTGTTTCATGACAAGACCCCCTTATACCCTATTCTATACTCATCATCTCATCATTCAATTATGGTATAAAGGCACCAAAACTTAAGGACCTTGTATCAGGATTTGTGGTGAGGTTCTCATGTGGTTCGTGGCTAGCCACATGAGATGAGCACGGAGGGGCCCTTTG